CAGAAGGTTTCCAATATGTTATCAAGCATTAGTGAACTTTTCTGTGGATTTTAAAAATCTGAGTTGTTTGGCACAGACTCTATTTTTTTCTTTTTTCTTTTTTTTTCCTCCCCAGCTGATGAATTCCCTTCAGACAAGAGTACAAGAAGCAGAAGGCAAGAAGGACAGGACAAGGACTTCAGCATATGGTCAGGTGGGCGGGGCTTCGACCAATGTATTTCCACTGTGCAAAACCAACAGCCAGACGAAAAGAGCACCTTCTGTTAGCCAAGAAGATGCTAAGCCTACCAGAGAATTACAAAGGGAAAATGGGACTCCAGCACATCCTAAGGGTTCTGCCTGGTGGTCTCACAAAGACCAACACATGGTTTGAATAACCACTCAGAAGGTCAAACAAAGCAACACAACAACGGCCACCACCAGGTGTCAAGGTGTATTCCGGTGACTACTGCTTCTCCCCTCAAACAATTTTGAATTCGTCATTCAAATAATAAGACCTTTTAAGAAAAAACTAACGATGTGTTATTATAACAGAGAAAATTGCTGGATGTACATTTTTTGAGTGGTTGTTCTGGAAAATCACAATATCCTAAATTCCTGACTTTTTTTTTAACCGACACAAAAATTTTGTTTAAATTGCCTATAACCATTCCTATAATGCTTCTTATCTAATTAGTAGGTGATGACCCTCTTTCAAATGCCCCAGAATCAACTGTATGGTCTTAAAAACCACCGCCTTTCATGTACTGTGTCCTTTTGATACTCGCAGGGTGTTCTGCTACCACATCTGTGGAAAGAGGTGGCAGATAGTGTTCCTGTTCCAATCCATGTACCTGTGTTCCGCTTTCCTAAACAGACTGGAAGCTTTTCAAGCCACAAAACACAGTCTATTGTCCTAGTATTTTGTTTTTTGGTCCTTTACACATAAATATCCATTAGCAAATCTGATAACCTAATTAAATTAGAAGTCTCTTGTCTAAGATCCACAACTCCATTCGTGTGTAATGGCACTTTCCATTTTTCACAGTGCTAGCCAGGCCTGTATTCCATGTTCCAAGCTGCCTGTGATCTCCCCCAACATCTCTGACCACAGTGCTGAGGCTTCCTGCTTCCCTGAGAGGGGTGCTCATCCCACTGTGTTCCAAGTCCCAACGATGACGGGCCACGGCCATACCAAACATCTTCCCATCGTTCCAAATAAATCTGAAACTCTGCACTGGATACAAGGGGATAAAGATGACACTTAAAGGTCAAATGCTATTTAATCCCCATTTGAATACCACAGTACCATAGCTATAGCCTCCTGTCTTCCATCCCAGAGTTGGGGAAAAAAATAACATATTTCTAAAAATATTAATGTTTGTCACTGACGCTAAGATAAACAAAAGCACTACTACTTCTAATAGAAATAATGATGCAATTAAGAGATGATTTTTTTTTTAACTGAGAAAATGTAGCCTTATATCCCAAATAACCAGATTCCTAATTATGAGGCCAATCCAAAGCTGACTGACAAAAGATTTTAAAAAAAAGACTGCCCTTCTTAGTGACAGGAATAAAACACTAAGTGTTTATTCTTAAAATTTCTAAGATACTCTGAAAACTACAGTCTATGCCCAGGAGTAGACAGAAATATGATAGTAAACAGTATTAGAGAAATTTCACTTAATATCGCATTAATAAAGCTAGTTGTCATCTACTGTTAAATTGGGGAAGGTTGGCGAAATAACATAAAATGTCCTATTGGCCTTCAATGAACACTGTCTAAGATTATAAATGGGAAAACCCGTAAGTATAAAAAGGCAAGACAATGTGTAAGCCTGGCTACCCCAGCTCCCTGTATAAAGAGGAAAACAGGCCCAAGACCAGAGTCTCAGCCACTCAGGCATCTGGTATGGGTCTTTAACAGGATCCAAGTTTGGCATAAGGAATCGTGTTTCTCAGTATTCCTCAGTGCTGCATACCAGTTTAGCAATTAAAAATTAAAAACACTTTCTCCTGGTAGTGTAGGATTCACTGTGTGGATTTATATTTTCCCATTATTGCCCTGTACTTTCACCACTGCTTTCTTGTCACTGTCTACTCTGTGGGATTCTGTACAATCAAAATTTTTCAAATCCATACTTATAACTGTATTTCTGAAGCATCATTTTAGTACGCATTGCTTTTAGGGCTATCAAATTATCTAGAAGGAAGTGTGACAGATCTATGAAAGCATTGTGCAAATGATAGCATCACCATTATAACTAGAAGTGATACAGAATGCTAATGTGGTGAAATTTTTAAGAGACATGGAGGTAAAATTTAAAATTAACTGTGGCCACAAAGACATCACCTAAAACAACTAATTTGCAAGGGACGACAGTGCTATCAGAATGCCTGTAGTCTTCAGTTGCCTATAAAGGTTTCTGAACTTTATTTTAATGTAACTGTGTTTCAGAACTTACTAAACACTATAACCATCTCCAGATAATGGCAGCAGTCTTTTTAACGTTAATGTGGCAGCATAACAAAATGCATTACTATGTATGACTGACAAAATCCAGTGTGAAAAGCCCATGAAGATGTGCTGCTCCCTGTTTACTCTTTCCAGTTGATTAACATGAATAAAGTTGCCATATCTATCACGGTCCATGTAGCATACTTCTATGCTCTCCAATAGCTCTGGAAATACTGATAGCAAAGCGAGAATGTGTTACTCACTGGCCTTCTAAAACAAGTATTTAGCATCTAGGTTTTCATCTTTGATGTCGCATTATTACTTGGATAACACGAAATTCTTAACATGTCACCTTCAGGCTGGAAGGAGCAAGAAGGTGTGAGCTCATTTGAATTTATTCCGGGCCTCGCTAATCACAAGTATGTTTTTTAGCCTTATATGTTCAGACATATTAAAAATAAAACAAGAAAACAACCACCACAAAGTGCCATGAAAGCAGGGGTATTCCTGTCTGGTTCACTATGGAATACCTAGTACCTAGTACTTAGTACCTAGCACCTAACACCTAACACAAGACTGGACTCCTAGCAGACACACTTGTCTTTACTGATCGTGTGAATAAATTAAACATCATGGCACTTGCTGCCACATGAAGCCATTACTTTTAGGGCAATGCAAAGTTTACAGACACAAGATTGGTATCAAACATTCAACCACCTCCTTAAGACGTGTTTCCCACTCCTATACACATCTTAGCTCTGAAATATATTTTCCCCTCTGCCTGTGTCCTTTATATGAAACCAAATTGTTGGTCTTAACCATACGCAGCGGATGAATAAACTGGCCCTTTCAATCTTTTATACAATTCTACGAGTAACATTTTATACCTTCATGCAATGCCCCTTGAATCATAAATGCATTAATACTATGCTTTCATCTTGAGCCTCTGAGGAAGCAGGAGGAGGCTGAGGCGCCCAAAGCAGGAGAATTAAGGGCTTATTCTTTAAGAGAATCTAAAAACAACTCCTCCATCTACTGTCATGCTGCTGTCAGGTTCTATTTGGTGGTGTGGTGTTTTGTTTTGCTTTGATTTTAACTCGAATAAAAATAAAAACCAATTTAAGGCTCAAATCAGTTCTCCTAAAGATATAAAGAGGGTTACTGTGGGAATTCAAAAATAAAAAGGTTATTCCAGCAAGTTATAAAATGGCTCAGGAAGACATAAGCACTAAAATCAGTGATCAGTATCAGGCCTGCCCAAAAAGCAATCCTTGAGGGCAAATTTTATTTAGAATCCTTACAACATTAATGAGGCAGAGAAATCTTTGCTGACTAATGCCAGAAGTTAGCAGAGAAAAGAAACAAAGACTGTTTTCATAAAATCATAACAACCACGTTGCTAAGGTGTAAAGGGGCTGTTTAAATATCTAGGTTACTTTGTGCCTTGAACTATTTTGAACATTCTGGGGAATCTCTGCTGAATCCATTTTAGGGAAGTCCCAAATGCAAAATCAGACGTACTGTGAGAAAATTTAAAGGAGCTTCCGACAACTGTGAGCTGGTAAAATAATTTGTGCACTGGCGTAAGCTGCCCGTTAGTTTATAGAGTTTAATTTTATCAACTCTAGGAGCAACTTGGGGACCTTTCAAAAACTAATGGGATGAATGCCCTGCCGTGGTACCCGATGCACATTTTATGTTTTTACAATGGCACCTGGCAAACAGCAAAGCAAGGAAACAAATCGCTGCTTTCACTCCCCTGTTGCCAGTTGAAGTACAAAGCTGAAGTACGAAGCACCTCGTCCAGCGTGAAAAGTCCCTCCACAGTTGATAACACCAAGTAAAACCCCACCTGAAATGCAGAAACCTCTTTTTTAAGAGGTGAAGAACAGCCATCTAACCCCACTTCTTACCATTTTAACATTAACATTCCCTCATCTCAGTGCCTCTAACCCATTTACTAAAACTTCAAGTACAAAAGCCGCAGCTTTATTTTCATAGAGACTGAAGTTACATTAACATTAATCACGGATTAGTGCTATGACTGCTTTGCAGTAACACAGCTCTTTCTACCTTCATGTTTCAAAACATTTTATAAAGGAAAGATCCCTACCAAGGAAATATTACATCTATTTTTGAAACGTTGTATCTTGCTTTGGATGCTTGCCAAATATTAACCTATTTTCTGGTCACCTGTGTACAGGGCTTACCTCTCCTAACAGACTCCAAACACCCCCAAAAAAGCACTGCATCTTGGCCATTTGAAAGCACAGCCTATGGTCCCAGGCCCACCTGGGGCAGGTAGAGGTCTTGAGCTTCAGTTTTAAGAAGCCCATCAGAATATAAATACAGGACAAGCCACATTCTTCTTCATCTGTTCTATCAGAGGAAAAGTGATATTTTCTTCCCTCAATTTCTTTAATCTTGCTTTTATTTCCATTTACCTGCCTCAATTGTTTCAGAACTCCAGTGTCAACAAAGGGTGCGATTTAGGGTATGTAAAAATCCACAAATAGAATTCTATCCTTAGCGACCTTTAGAATGGAATGGATTAACTGAAACCTGCTACAGGGAGAAAGGTAACCTGGATAAAGCTGGAGAACAGTCTACGCTCAGGCTGCATGTTCAAATTCCTGGCTCAGATCCTGCACAGGCAGCTACTAAAGCAAACCAAGACCCTACTTGATCTTCCCTGGGTTCCATTAGTAATACTGCCAAGCACGGACTGAAGTACAGATAAGTGTACCTCTAAAGGCAGGAACTTCTCAGTCATTAGTAAAATCACACGCACCTGATGGTTACCGACCTAAATGAGCTTGGAATGGGAAGGTGAGATTAAAATGTGCAGATCTTGGTCAACAAATCTCAATTTGTTTCTCAAAACTTAACTACATACAAAGATTTAAATTTTCTTGGTGGGAAATAAGCAACGATAATACATCAAGACGTGGCAGTAAGGCTAAAAAAAGTGGGGGGGGGTAATAGTAATTAAAGGCTTCAAGATGACCGGTGTAAGAAGGTAATTGTTTTTAGACAGGTATAAGTCATGTTCTCAACAATCATAAGGATTGTTAAAAATAACCTAATGATATTTTTAAAAATCCTTAATTCTGAAGAACTACTTAAAGTTATTTCTGTGACATAGGGGGATCACTCCCAATATTTTCACTCTTAACATTCTTTTTGTTTTGATTTTTTTCAGTGAATAAAGAAAATGCCTATTTACTTCTGCCCATTTTCCTGGATTTATCTGAATACTGATTTTAATTTTTTTTTATTAGCCAGGCAGAGTGCTGCATGCTTGTAAACTTGTAATCCCTCCACTGTGGGAGGCTGAGGCAGGAGGATAACAAATTCAAGCCCAATGGCGGGCAAAATTTAGCAATTTTCAGAGACTTTGTCTCAAAATAAAAAAGTGAGAAGGCCAGTGCTGCCAAGCAAGCAAGTAAATAAATATATAAATCTATATTAGTTTTTTAAAAAACATTTTTAATTCATCACTTTAATATAAATCTGTATTTAGAATTATCCCTCTTCTTTTTCCCCCAAAATAATGATAACTCAAATCAAACTGGTCCTTGACTGCCAAGGGAAAAAAAAAAAAAGATTAACCAATGCTGAACTTCAGTTTTATATACGGGGGGAAAAGATTTTATGTTGGACTGAAGAACTGTGATTTATTTAAAACAACTTTCAGGATTAACTAAAAGTAGATTATTCAGGACTGGACAAAATCTTGACTGTTTTGCAAGCTTTCAAGTGCAAGGGGTCACACCGATATGGAAATATAAATTCTATGTCCATACAACTTACTTGCTTAAGTGAAAGGGGAGTGGTTATACCCAAGCAGAGAGATATACAATTTTTTCCACACCCTGGGACGATCTGGACATGATCGGTGAAGAATGCTTAGTCTTTCTGTCCTTCTCTGTCTTCCCCTCCCCTAGGTGTGTATATTTTCTCTCTCTTTCCATTAGATTTCCATGAGATTGTGTGGGATTTCCATTAAAGGCTGCTGATCACCTAGTGATCAAATAGATATAATGCAGTAGATATAACCAGGTGATGTGATCAAATAGATATAATGCAAAGCAACCAGCCTCAAGACCACCACACCACAGGCACAGGGACCCTGGGAGGGAAGCCCTTGTCTAGTTTCCTGACGTCTGACATGCTGTATCCACTGCCAGTGACTTGGCAATTTCTAAAAAAGAAAAAAAGAAGCAAAAAAAAAAAAAACCACCCAACAAACACTCATCACTCAAAAGGAATCTTCAGTTCTTGTAAGGAAGACAATAATCCTTCGGAAGTGGTGGGTGAGGGTGTGCTCAGCAAAATTTTTTCCATCCTTTTTCTGTTGTCTGCATTTTCTTATTCACCATCCAGGGCAAAGGCAATCTGACACGATTCTGTAACCAACCTGGTCCGGCAGGATTTCTCACACACCTTGCACAAAAGGCTAACCCCTTACAAAGTACTTAGTTCAGATTTGCGTCAGGGTTGAGTGAATCGCAGCCAGGGAACAGAGCTCAAAACACAATATGAAAGTCTCCTCGGCTAATCACTAAACCAGTGGTTCAGCCAGAAGTGGGGGAAATTAGAACTTTGCACTGTTTCATTTCCTCTTATGCTAATGTGATAAAAGAAAAAAAGAACCTCAGAAATCCAAGGAGTGATATATATGCCTTTTGTTCATTAATTTATATGGAAAAATCTTAAAACTTCACAGTATGTAAGTTTAGTCTAACAATTTAAATCTTCTATGGGCGTCAACCATGTGACTGTGAACTTGTACTCACAGGCCTCCTAAGCCCTTGCTGTACTCACTGTAAGTCTTCTAACTGTCATGATGTTTAAACTCCAGCTGAGGTATTAGGTGTTAGGATAACTCAAGCAATGATAATGGGAATTGCTGGGGTATCTCCCTCCTAAGGGAAACCTATCCAGTCTTGGGTTTATTTAACATCGCCAGAGGTAAAATACACTCAGGAGCCAATGAATCAGTTACCAAGAAATCTCTGGAACTTGCCACCACCGGAGGGAAAAAAACACACACACTTGCTTATATTTCCCTTCTTCTGCCCTAGAGAAATCTCAAGAGAGCTGGAAGCATCTTTAACATTGTTCAAGTCTTGCTCAAATTCCAGTCCAACTACTCCCATTTATGAACTAAGCCTGCCAACATTTCAGAAAGATCCAATGGCCAGGAAGCTATGTCAAATGACACATTACACAGTGAAGAATAGGACAGAAAACCTCAGCGATTTAATATGACACCACAAAGTACATTACTATGACTCAACTAGGAACACTGGAAGAGAAGAGATAGCGCTGTAGCTTTCACAAAGTGTTTTTAATCCTGAACTAAGAGCCTTTAGCACTTCATTCTTTTATTTTTTCCCAATGTGGCCATCTGGTTGCACCTAGTTTTGTTTTTCTTTCTCAAATAGGAAACCGTACAATAAATTTGGGGTAGGTAAACCAACAGCAAAAACAACAACAAAAACAATAGATCTTGATGATACAGAAACAAGAATTTTGCTGAAACGAGAAACAAGCAGGACTCTATCAGTTTGTGCAGGAAGAAATAACACTTTTGTCTCATGGGAGCAGACGATATGGTGACAGATGGGTTTGGAAAGCTTGAAAATAATTGGTGTATGTTTAAACAGCTGAGAGTGCCCATTACACATACCGTATAGGGTACCAATTAATTCCCTTCAGGTTTCGGTGCCAGAATGCTGAACACAACCAAACCCCTCACTGTGGTACCCCAAGACTGCTGTCCACACGGAAGCACAGTGGATGAGGAGAACACACCCATGCGCAGCAAGAGATCACTACAGGCGCTGCCCGATTGGTTCTTCTTTTGAGGAAGGGTAATTCTCTGGCTCACTGTGGGCCCCCACGGTGTGCCTGTGAAAGTTGACACTACTGGATGTTACTTTTAGGGGTTTTTAAAATATGGCACATGCTCATAAATGTTGAAAGGGGGGCCATAAAACAGTCAATCAAACATCTCTCCCTACTCTCAACTATGTAAGGGTTTCTAATAAACACACAGGTTTCTAAGGATGGGAGAACAGAGGGAGAATACTTAGGGGGAACTAATGTTTAACATGCTGCTGTTCCTTGGGGAGGAGAGGCCACTGGGCACACTTCGAACCCAAATGCCCCGTATTTAAAAAAAATTTTAAAAAGGCTCCAGTTCATTCACTGTTGAACTTTAAGTCCAAGATTAGAGCCTTTATTCTGACTTCTGACATGACAGCCTTCAGGTGTGAAACAAAAACTCCTGCTGACAAAGGGAAAGTAGTTAAATGATGCATAACAATGTGAACTGTTTGTGGTGCTGACAGCCACAGGTGTTTTTCTTCTTTAGGTTCAGAAGCCTCTCACAAGTGGTTCAACACCAGCTTTCAACAGGCTGGCCAGCAGGAAGAGTCAGAATCCTTTCGGAAATCTGAACTATGTATTCTGTTGGTAAAGTCTGACAGCATACATGAAATCTCAGAAGAAGGAGGTGAAATTAAAGATGGTTCCTTTGAAGAAACACTATTTAGATAAGTGTGATATTAGCGGGCCTCTTTTATTTAACTGCACTGGAAAAATGACTCTGCTTTTCTTTTTCTTGTTTGTTTTCTTCATAATTCAACATACTGAAGTTTCCTGTTTTGACTTTATTTTCCATTTGATGAGTCGAGGCTTTCATACATATATTAGTGAGCTCCCCGAAGTACTACACACTTTCAATAAAAAGGAAAAGAAAGCAATTCTACAGAATAGTCTTAGCATCTGTAATTTGGTGGAAAATGTCAAAGTTGCCTTTCCAAGATGCACGAGCTGAGAAAGTGATCGTGTGAACAAAAGCAGTAAGTTAATCACAGCTTTACTGGCTGCACTGACTACTGAAATAATTCAGCGAGGATAAATAAAATACATATTTAATGCAGTAAAAAATGATAGCATCAAGAAACGAGAAGCATCATGCTTCAAAATTCTGATTTCACTACAGTGCAGTGTATCTTATCACACCGAACTACAGGAACCCCTAACCATTTACTCAAAAGCTTTCAGAGGAAGGAATTTCTTCATTCTCATCTGAACAAGACCATCTACCTGATCTAGTACTGCTGTTTTCACCTCACTTATTTTATAAATAAATAAGTGCACATCCAAATGCTGCTTTAAAGCAAACTGTAGATACTGAATCATGGACATAAACGCCCACCCATATCATCCTCTGTACCAATGCATGTGTGTGATGGAGTGCAGGCAAATGAGGATCTATGTACACATCGCCTACTGGTTTAGATCAAACAACAGGCATGTGTAGGAGCATTCTGGACAGCCATCCATCTGTAGACAGGCTGGGCTGGTCAGGACAACACAGAGTCACCAGCCGGATGATCCAAAGTCAAGGGAATTGTGGAAAGGAGCTGCTACAGCTACAGCTCCTCCAAGGCGGGAGAAAAGAGGAGAAAAGTTGACACGTCGGTAGAATAGAAAATGGAGAGAATCCAGGTCTAAAACGTGTCTACACAGCAAAAATCTCTGGATGGGAGCCAGCCTACAGGATACTGGGATGAGGTTCCCTAGGCCATGATTTCTGATTTTATTGTTGCTTTTAGATTTTTCTTTTTCTTTTTAATTGCCAGCTGGCACTCTGAAGGCCAGCGGAAATGTGGAGCATGGCAGTGTCCCAGAAATCTTAAAAGAGTGTGAAGAAAAAAAAAAAAAACAGAAGGCCATTACTTTTACCACCCATTCTTCAAAACAGAGACAATGACTCTTCACTAAGCAAAGACTATTCACATTATCTACAAAACTTTAAGACAGCTACAAAGTTATGATAAATCTGTGAATAGCATATATTTTAGTTTACCCAAAAGTTTAGGGAGAAATAAATTTGGTCCAACAGATATGTTATTAAAATGGATTAATCTGTATAATTTCATGAAATCATTCTGTGAAAGGAAATAAGATGGCAAACGGGCAGAAAAAATGATCATCAATAAGATGATTCTATTACTTCATGTAGGTGAAGTAAATGAGGTAAACGAGGTAAGTGGAATAATCACTTTTATGCCATACGTATGTCTGCAATATTTATAATTTGTTTTTTATCCTAAACCATCTTACTTGCATATCTTACTTATTAGAGAAAATTTACATTTTTTCTCAATTACAGTAGTTTATTCCTTTAAAAAGAAAGGAGTGTATGTATCAGCTATAGCCAAGGTATACTGGTTCCAAGTATAAAAACATAGATAAAAAGATGTGTAATATGTAGAAAATAAGTGTATCTAATAAATGCCATCCACACAGACAGAAAAACTCAAAACTCAATATAGCAATTCCTAGACCTATTTTCCACATGCTGACCCTTCATTTCTACCTTCCTTCTCATTCTTATCTAACCTGTGTCTAAATGGACCCAGCACCTCTGCAATCATTTGCCGATACTGGAAATGAGAAAGCAGTCCAGCTAACATTACCTACGCACATTCTTAAGTGCACACCCTTTGAGACAAAAATTCCAAGAATGTGGCCAAGAAAGATCTACTGGGCTTTTGACAACACCATTTGAGAGTAAGAAAATGATAAAAGATTGCTCAGTTTTGATTAAAAAGAAAAAAACTACACCTCTCTATACTGTCTTATCTTCAGAAATTAAGAAACACATTCAAGACAAGAAGCAGAATTTGTAATAATACTGGTAAAGTGACTTAAAAATTCTGAATGGCTTGATACCACACAATTCTCCCAAAAATCCCAAGCAAGCGGCCTTGTCAAGCAATGTGCCACTCACTAAGTCACCCTGACGTCATCTGGCTAGAGGAAAGACACCCAGGCTAAGCATCTCTTACCACTGAAGCAGATGGATTTCTCCTGTGACCCCTGCTTAGGCGACGTGAGTCCCTGCTGCTCTTCAGGGAGGCCCCAGAGCAGCAGCTTTCTGAACACCCACAATGTAGCAAGGATCAGAGGACACGACACAAGGACCTTCTAGGTCAAAGGGACAATGGTCAATTTTCTGTCGTGGGCAGAGTTTTACACCAGCTGTGCTACATGGCCAGAGAAGTCAACTTCTCTGTGCATTAGCATCTTTAAGAACTCCAGCTGCCCCATCTCCCAGAGCTGATCAGAAGACTCAGAGAGGAACTCCTGTGACGATGCCTGGAGTCTTTTTCAGTGTTTAATATCCTAACAGTGGACATCCCCTTCCTCTTCTTCTTTCTGAATTCTGTAAGGTTAACACAGCTTTTCAAAATACCATTTACCATAAAAATATTGTACAAGAATAAATATTTCTTTATTTTGCAGATTCATCTGAAAAAAAATCAATCTTCTGTTTTCTAATTTCCAGCACGGGATATAAATGGTACCTTGTTTTTTAAAAAAGTCATCAGAAACATGTTGTCTACAAATGACTAGTTTGGGGAGAAAACCCACTATAATTAATGGGACAAAAATTTCAGAGTCCCAAATCTCTAAACAGACATAGAAATTTTCTGATTCTATAGTTTCCATCAAATCAGCAAATAGGCTCCTTTTACTAACACGTATCAATATAATCCCAATTAAAGTACTCCGAGAGGCTGCCGAGAGCACTCTGGATGGAAATAGCTTCTACCGAAATACACTTTCCCGCGACTCCTATTTAGCATCTCGCTTTCCGCCATCAGCAGATGACAAGCCAAGTACTATTTAAACCCATATGCCTCCCATAGCATAGTTCAAATACTGCATAAAAAGATGAACAAATGTTTCAAAGCTAATCAGATTAGACTTTCAGTGAAAAAAAAAAAAAAGCAACAAAGTGAAATTTCATTTCCTGCCAATGACTTTTACTAGATCACATTTTCAATCATTGAAGGAATTACATCTCGGTAAGCCACGCACACAAAAATAACAACTTGTGTAAGACAAAGTACGGTACAATTTTAGCTATTTCTCTACAAATCTTTTCTCTCTGCTTGAATCCCAGTCCAGGCAGCCAATGCATCTGGTACCAGAAGAGTACACTAGGGTAACTGCCATTCAGTACCAGGGCTAAAAACAGAGTGAGTCTCCAGCTCTCATCCCACACAGTAACTCATTTCTTCCCTCTTTCCCGCTACTATTTTTTTCCCTAAGGGCGACAAAAACAAGCAAGAAGTCGCCGGAAGGGGACAGCCACCTGTCTCCATGGATCTCAACCTGCACTTGGATCCCTCACTTCTAGGCAAGGTGATTAAGATGATCAGGTTGGGTTCGGGATGAGAACATCAGATGCACTGCTGAGTGCCCAAAGCTTTCAAACTCCACTCTCTCTCCGTGTCTGTCCCTAGTACGTCAGGTGCTGCTAGCTCAAGGAATATATCTGCCAGTATCTTTCTCTTCTTCATGTGACATTTTCTACACTATAAGCTTGGTCACAAAATAATCAAGATAAACAGTGCCACTGCACACTTCCTGTTATCTAGAGAACTGTACTTCACCTCCTGAAACATCCCCCTGGCCTTGGAAGCACGCAGCTCAGAAGAACAATCAATCTTTCTTCACATGTTGAGTTCAACGTTAGTCGATATTGAGCTCCACAAACTAGCAACAGACTGATCAAATTTAACCAAAAAATCTACAATTAATTTTTTTAACATTATGTATTATGAAGAAAAATAATTTTGCATTTCATGATTTTTCTTGAAAAAGGTAATGTACCTTTTAGGTTTTACCAGAACATTATTTAAACCTACAAACACACAGGTAGATTGATTCACTACATTCCTTTATGAAAAAAATTCTGTGAACTCTAAGAAATCTCTGCTTTACTAGGTAACTCAGAAAAAAAATTCAAATTTAAAAATGTTCCAGTAAAACTCAAAGTTTTATTTCTATGTGAACCCAAAATTTTTAGAATTATTTTTCCGAGTATGCACCTCACTAAATAATATTATATGCTAACAGTTATTTTCTAAAATGCATGTAAGTTACAATTTACTAATTTTCAGGTCCTAAAAATTCAAATATTTTTCAGTATGTAATTACAAACTTAACACTAGAAAAATATACAGACAATATGGCAGTCTCATCTAGAAATTAAAAAGCAGTTTTAAAATAAAAAAATACAAATATCCTCGTACAATTGTATTCAATTAAAAACACTGATTCCAAATCTCCAAAGAGAGGAGCAGCATGCTAAAAGCCAACAAGAAACAAACAATCCTAGTGTTTTGGAAGCCTGAGGCAGAAAGATCACAAGTACAAGCCCAGCCCAGAAAACTCAGCAACTTTAGCAAGACCCTGCATCAAAATAAAATAAATGAAAAAGTTCTGGTGACATAGTTCAATGTGAATCTCCTGGGTTCAATTCCCAGCTTCACAAAAGAAAAACATCTTATGCACGGGACAGAAGAGAGGTGAGATTCAGTCCCACGCTAACCCAAATCACCACATTAGTTCATGCAAAATAGAAAAACCAAGACCTGTGACTGCCTGGGCACAGCATGGTCGGTGTGTCCTACAGCAGAA